AATATTTTTATTTGCAACTTCTGTTTACAAGTCTAAAGGACTTCAAAATAATTTGAATTATTAAGTTAAATTTTTTCAATTTTTATAAAAAATTATTTTACTTCCATTGTTTATTTATGATTTTTACATTCAAAGGAACTCAATAATAAATAACAAAATAATAATTAAATTAAATAATTTTTATAATCAATAACAAAAAGTATTTGTAAAATACTTTATAACAAAAAGTAAGCTTTTCTTATTTTCGTGTCTGTTTCATAGTAACATTCCATTTTTTAAGATCATACTTCTTGCACTATGTTAAAACATTTTTGTATTTTTTAAACTTTTTTTTCTAATAATTATATAAATATATTATAAATATATATTTGCTAATACTTTTTTTCTAATAATTATATGAATATATTATAAATATATATTTGCTTTTGATAGTTATTGATGTAATTATTGCATTTAATATTGGATTTATATTTCATAAAAATTCATTTTCCTATCTTCTCTTTTACTACTTAACCCTAGGTATACACACTGGGATCTCCGAGACTCCAGGCAAAGTTTGAAACTTTAGTTTTAGTAGAGAGAATAAATAAGGAGGATTCGGCCGCCATGTAAAAAAGATTTGAAGTCTCCTCTGTAGATAGTAACTGTCGGAACAGTCAATTGTCTGTCGGTTTTGTGATAATTTACGTAAAGTAAGTCTGGGGTCTCCCAGACTTCGTGTGTACTTCGTGCAACATTTTTTGCAAGTATATTTTGTAATTAATTTTATTTGAATTCATAGTATAAATATATATTCTAAAAAATGTTATATTAAATACGTAATGTAAAAAACAGAACTAATTTTTATTGGGAGACAGAAACACAGACTAAACGCCCAAAATAATACTGCCTTATTGGGTGAATGTTATTTACTGCTTTTAAATTATTGACGTTTTTCTTTTTCTGTTTTTGTTACATGAATTATAAGACCTCTGTTAAGCTAGCAGGACCAAATGAGCAGAATCATGCCGGACCTTTTGCGTTATTCAGTACTTATTTTGTACTAATTTGTACCACTATTAAATATTTTGTACCACTTGCCGTTTTAAAAAAACTCGTGGCGCTGCTAGCTTAACGTTGAGCTAGCAGGCCACATGTAAAAAAAATAAAAAAAGGAAAACAAAGATATAAATACAACGGCCAGAATTTGTACTAATTTGTACCACCCAAAACAAGCTGATAAATAGATCTCTTCCGCTTGAAACAACAATTTAAATTTGGTAATTATTTAGTTTAGCGGCAACACCTCCGATTTCGACGAAAATAGGCTCAATCGACGCGTTTTTGCATGCCAAATAACTTTTTCCTCTAACGAAATCGTCGCTCTCTACTACGAAGCAAGATATTTATTAATAGACAAAGTTGAGGGCGCGTTAGGTTAGAAAATCTGTCATACCATCTATCTCTAGCTATGTGACTGGGGAGCTTCGCCCCCCAGACCCCCCGTATCACGGGGGGTGGGGGCTATAGTCTCTTGTGCTTAAGCTAAAGAATGAATTTCTCACAAAAGACTGTAGCTCCCGCCCCACCGTGTTACGGGGGGTCTGGGGGGCGAAGCCCATAGAAGGAGGGGAGCATACTAGATGGCGGCGGGACGCCGTGCGTTCGAGATCTACGTATTTTTTTCGTTCCAGAAAGAGAAAAATATCCAGAACGCGGTCCTGCTAGGCCGGGACTCGAACCCGGGTCTTTCGCTTGCCGGACGATTGCTCTAAGCCACTGAGCTACCTGACGCTCCACGCTCACGACACTCTCCTCTTCCTAGATAACGCTCAGAGATGCCGTTCGGAAGCGATTAAGCTAGAGATAGACGGTATAACTGGATAATTACCAATTTCTTAATCAACGATTGTAACAAATTAATAGACTTTTTAATACAACACGGTGTTTTAACATCTACAATATATAAGATGTAGTAAAAAGAAATCCATTATTTTTCCAATAGATGGCTTTAGTAATGTGTATCTCGTGTTGTATAAGTGCGATCGGTTTACGCTAGATGACGTTAGAAAGATAAGATTTCGTACTAAAAGAAACTGCTCAGACAGTTTTGTGATTGTTTGACTCAGTATTGTTTGAGCGCGCGTCAAAGATGGACACCAGCAAAGAGAAAATACGCCATATTTTACAGTTTTTCTTTGATAAAGGCAAAAACGCAAGCCAGGCAGCTGAAAATGTGAATAGGGTTTATGGTCCTAATACTGTAACTGCCAATCACGCGCAATTTTGGTTTCGTCGATTTCGTTCCGGTAATTTTGATGTCAAAGATGTACCACGCTCTGGAAGGCCAATTGTCGAAAATGTCGATAAAATAATGGAAATCGTCGAGTCTGACCGTCATGTAAGCACTGTTTCGATTGCCCAGGAGTTAAACATTGCACAAAAAACCGTTTGGAACCACTTGAATAAGGCTGGATACAAAAAGAAGCTCGATGTATGGGTGCCACACGAGTTAACGCAAAAAAACCTCATGGACCGAATTTCCATCTGCGAATCGCTGCTGAATCGCAACAAAATCGACCCATTTCTGCAGCGGA